AAGTGATACAGTTGAGATCAAAATAATAGCAGTCCCACATCACTAGAAAAACTTTGTTTGAATTTCAACTTTACACTGCAAGTAAGTTTCTAGGGGTTTGAGTAAAGTTATAGAAAACCAGCAGACTCAATAGGCATTATATATATTCTGCGAAACTGAATAACTTAATGAAAGACTTACTCAGCAGTGCTGAGTTCAATTAGTGAGGTCTTTGATTATGTGAAAAAAACAGGAGTTAAACAGGTGACCCTTATATTAGGATGCATTAGTAACAGGATTTGGAGTTTGCACCCAAGAGGACGCCACCAGTGCAAGGAGGACGCCACCAGTGCAAGGAGGACGCCACCAGTGCAAGGAGGACGCCACCAGTGCAAGGAGGACGCCACCAGTGCAAGGAGGATGCCACCAGTGCAAGGAGGACGCCACCAGTGCAAGGAGGACACCACCAGTGCAAGGAGGACGCCACCAATGCAAGGAGGACACCACCAATGCAAGGAGGACGCCACCAATGCAAGGAGGACGCCACCAATGCAAGGAGGATGCCACCAATGCAAGGACGCCACCAATGCAAGGAGGACGCCACCAGTGCAAGGAGGACGCCACCAATGCAAGGAGGACGCCACCAATGCAAGGACGCCACCAATGCAAGGAGGACGCCACCAATGCAAGGAGGACGCCACCAATGCAAGGAGGACGCCACCAATGCAAGGAGGACGCCACCAATGCAAGGAGGACGCCACCAATGCAAGGAGGACGCCACCAATGCAAGGAGGACGCCACCAATGCAAGGAGGACGCCACCAGTGCAAGGAGGACGCCACCAATGCAAGGAGGACGCCACCAATGCAAGGAGGACGCCACGAGGGGGAAAAAAGATGTTATTGATACTACTGAATGCTGCAACTGCAACCACACAGAACCATTCTTTCCATGAGAATGGTTTATGACCCCAAAGCAACCTACATGTACAGAAGACTGACTTTACGTTTGTAAGCAATAATGGACGGAGCTGTCGGAAGACCAACTTTAAAGTTTATTCAGCAATGAGAGTTGACAGCATTGTCACAAAATCAAAACGAGATGAAAGAAGCTGATAAAAAGCCCAATATTAATTAAACTTTAGGTTTAATAACATAAAGCTACATAATTTTTAAAGTCTAATCAGTAATACTTTTATGACAAATTTATATCAGATCACAATTTCTTGGTTAATATCAAGACATTTTGAATAATGTCATCTTTGTATTAAAAGTGTCATGATTTACCGAATGACACTTTGTGACAACAGTCATAAATATTCATAAAGACTAACTCATGTTCATGCCAGTCTTATTCACACCCTGTTAAATATCTCAGCATCATTATGCTTTTTGAAAGGTTGGCTCTGTGATATGACTGCAAAGTTAAAACATAAGTTGCTGTTGATTGCTTAGAGTGAGCAAATAATTTCACCTTTAACATGTTACCATAGTTTCTGGTGAAATAATGAACTGTTCATCTACAATGAATATCTTGGTCTGTCCAAAAATGACACATTGTTCATTAGCCAAATTCTTGGCTGTCTACCTGCTTTGTTGATATGCATCTTTCTACTAGTGAGATTTTCAGATTTGCTTGACGTCGAGTCTGATCCGGTTTAAAAAATACAAAAGAAAAGGAGACCTAACATTGTGCAGGTGACTTTTTACAAGTTGTAACAGAAGACTTTATTTGAAAAAACTTGAGAACTCTCCAGAGAAAACCGCATTAAGAATGAAGTTTAGTGTTTCTCTGCTTGCACAATGTGAACTGCAAATATAGTCAAACTTTTAGAGGTGTGTGTTGAGCAAGCAGTGAGAATGAAATATCTTAGTGAACAGAAAATGGGTCCACGATGAGTTGAACAATAAGCCTAAATATGTTCTAATATTCCAATTAACAAAAAAAAATGTTTGTGACACACAAAAAACTTTGCTTCCCAAATTTTATCTTATATTTTTCACCCCTTGAGGTCGCCATATTTACATGTGCAATATGCATCACGCATTACATATAATACTGTAGATTCCAGAACAAAACCTGCAGTACTGAGTTACGATGTATCATAAACAGTATTTTTTTAGTCAATATAAAAATTAAAACATATTTAGGCCAACATGTTCAACTAATCGTGGATCCATTTAAAAAACGAAAATGACAAATTGAATCATTAATGTTAAGGCGTTTAGGTTGTGTGGTGTCAGGTCCCCATTTTATCCAATAACACCAGTCCAGAAGAGGAACTGGGTAAGCTGTTAGAGACAGTTTTATTTTTTAAAGAAGTGTTTCTTCTCATTGTTCTACAGTTTTTTATGTTTCTCACTGAATTCTGGTTGATTTGACTTTTATAGTTTAGTCCAGCTGTGTATTTTAGTCCCATTTATCACATATTCACTAAAAGCAAGTTTTTTTGTCCTGCCAGCATCCATATTTATCTCCCAATGACAGCAGCAAAAGTTATTTGGTTGAGGATCTTCTCTCTCGCCAGACGGATGGAAAAAGCCAGTGTGAGGGAAGGAGTGGAGGTTGCCATAAAAAACAAGCTGCATGTGATTCACACATGCATGACTCTGCTCAAGGTCCAGCACACCTACAGGACATATCCAGAAATCAATAATCCACCAGACTGAGGGCAGAGAAGGAAGGACTGCTCTTGCAAATCAACACAAAAAATGTACTTTCATGTCGACATTTGAATTATTCAAAGCAATGTACCTACTGCTTTGAAAGCAGTGTGTGGTGTCAGGTCACCATGAGCAGCAGTGCAGAAAAGGAAGCGGCACAAACTGCTTCCCTTTTCTGTTCAGTGCATTCAGCTGCTGCTCTGCAAAACAACACAAAATTTGTAAAGGGTTCTGTGAAGCCACTGATAATCCTGTAGCTCTCTTATCACTCAATTTTGACAGGAAGACCTGATACAATCAAGTTCTTCTTAAGAAAATAAGTAGATCCTGGTAGGCGTATCCGTCTGCCTCACAACTGGTTTGGTTTGGTGAATTTGTCTGGATCTATTTCAAACTACTATAAAGCAACAGGAGTAAACCAACGTCAGTGTTTCTAAAAAAAAAGTCCAATAGTGATGCAGAAGTCAGATGTTCCTGAATAGCACAAAATTGTTAATATCCACTAACCATGCTGGATGTCAACATTTTCAGTTTGAGTTCATTTAAACTGCTGAAGTCAGCTTGAACCTGTCATAATACTGAGTGTTAAAGAGGTAAATGATGCTAGCTAATAGAGCTACTATTGCTGTCTGAAGAAATGCATGGCTCCATCAGAAACAACCAGTTAAAGCACAGTCCAGTCCTGGAGGGCCACCTCCATGAGACTTTTAGATGTGCCCCAGCGGCACCATCTGAATAGGTCATTAGCAAGGGTCTGGAGAACTGATCGACACAGCAAGGAGGTAACTGAGCCATTTCATTCCAGTATTTTGTACCTCTGGCACATCTAAAAACTGCAGTACAGTGGACCTTGAGTTAGAGCCAGGATGAGGGCCTTAGGGTTGTCAATGACTCTCATGTAGATGCTTCTCAGTGTGATAGGAGCAAAGAAACAACTTCCTGTTACAGGAAAACTGTTTATCAGCTGTCAGATAAACAGTGAGCAAGTGGTCATGTTAACTTGCCATAGCATTCATGGCAGACTTTGGTGTGGTGAACCAGCTCTAGCGTAGCAGAGAGAGGAGGCTGTGATCGGCACATACACCTGGGTGATCCTTAGAGGTTCTAATTGGTTGATTCTGATGGAATTCTATATTTCTGTAGCTAGAACCAAATGGTAGCTATTAGTGGTGGGTCTCCCACAAAAACAGCATTTGGCTGCACTTTAAAGACATTATTATCATGCAATGTTTTGTTCATGTGTTTTTTAAGTTTGATGAAAATATGCAAACATGAGAATGCCTGTTTCTGTAACAGAACAAACAATGGCACATGAAAAAGCACAGTTTCTTAAAAAATCATAAAATGGAATTATTCAAAGCAATGTACCTACTGCTTTGAAACTTAGTATGTTAAAAGGATTTAACATACTAAGTTTTCATATTTCCTTAGTATGTTAACTATATAACATACTAAGTAAGTCTCATCATCTAAGATATGAGACTGCTGATGATAATAGATTAAGTGCCACTTAGTAGCAGAAAGAGCCAACTCTTCCTTGGGAGCCAGTTCTCTAGAAAGGACCAAACTTCCCATCACTAAGAACTATGCAGGTAGGTCAGACATAATATATATAAAAAATTCCCTTCTCACCCACCGCGGGTGGTTCTTATCCTCTGAACTCGGGTCCTCTACCAGAGGCCTGAGAGCTTGAGGGTCCTGCAGTATCTTGGCTGTGCCAAGGACTGCACATTTCTGGACTGAGATGTCTGATGTTGTTCCTGGGATCTGTTGTAGCCACTGCTCCAGTTTGGGGGTTACTGCCCCGAGGGCCCCGATGACCACAGGCACCACTGTGGTCTTCACCTTCCAGGCCCTCTCCAGTTCTTCCCTGAGGCCCTGGTATTTCTCCAGTTTCTCGTGCTCCTTTTTCCTGATGTTGCAGTCACTTGGTATTGCTACATCTACCACAACGGCTTTCCTCTGATGTTTATCCACTACGACAATGTCTGGTTGGTTCGCCATTACCATTCTGTCTGTCTGGATCTGGAAGTCCCACAGGATCTTAGCTCTGGCGTTCTCCACCACCTTTGGGGGTGTTTCCCACTTTGATCTCGGGGTTTCCAGTCCATATTCTGCACAGATGTTTCTGTACACTATGCCTGCCACTTGGTTATGTCGCTCCATGTACGCTTTCCCTGCCAGTATCTTGCACCCTGCTGTGATGTGCTGGACTGTCTCAGGGGCCTCCTTGCACAACCTATCCATGTTGTGCAATATATATATATATATATATATATATATATATATATATATATATATATATATATATATATATTTGCCATCAATAGTACAAGCACAAGAAAAATGAAATAAACAATGGTTATTTGTATGATTTATTTCAAACAATTTAAATGATAATAGTGCTATTTAATAAAACAAGACGATTTTTACAGCAGCAACATTGTGCTGCTGTATTGCAGCATTATGTCCTCCTTCTCAAGTACTTAATAATTAAAAGCATGTCTAAATAATGCATTTGATTCCCTCTTGAGTCAACCCTGAGTACATCACTAAGTTAGATAAAGTAGCCTGATGCTAACATTCACATAAACATTGATGGATTCAGTGAAGAGGCAGAAACAAAGTCTGTTTCAGTTACGCTTTTTCTCAGTCACACAATGATTGACACAGATGTTTAGAGGTAGAAACATCACTTCATCAGCTGGAGACCTGATGAATACCTATGACTGTTACAGTCAAAGAAAGTAGAGCTAACCTGATATGTGTCGGTGTAATACAGTCCCACTCGTATCGTCCATGCCAGTTTGCAACCACTTGATTTTGTTTCCTACGTTCACCCAGCATCAACAACTGATTAAATTAACCTGGTTGATTCACTTCAAGCTACAAGATGGAAACACAAAATTCACATTTTACATTGTTTTTTGCAACATTTTAAATGATCACTTAGAATTGGAAACATAATTATTGTCAGTTAGCATAGCTTCCAACAAAAGTGAATAAAATGACTACTGAAATTAATAAGCTTGATTATCAATCATATACAAACTTAGCAGCCTTCTGGGAAACACTGTGGTGGATGGGAGACACTTTGGACCATTATTGCTACCTTGTGTTGTTCAAGCAGTGTTGCTGCCAGGTGACAAAGGAAACAAGGTTGTTATATAAAGTGCTTGATATTCTGACTCTTAAGATGTTCAAACAATCCACATGTATTTTATACAAGCACAAAAACAAGGTATAAAACCTTTTTTCTCAGCTTTGGAGAAGCTTTAAAGTGCTTTATAACACATTTTTTTTAATGAACAGCGTCCACTTCTCATTTTCTCATGTGCAAGTGATTGTAAGTAAATGTGCAGAATATAATTTTTATATTTAAACAAAAATCAATCAACTATGTTGTAAGATATTAATATGATACATTATTAAGAATTAGCCATCATGTCACAGCTGTGAATATAGCAGAAAACACATCTATAACCATGCAGACAGTTCTATTGTTTGGTTGTGTTTTGTGAAATAATGGAATGGATCCAACTTTCACTTCCTGTGTTAGAGTGTTCTTGAATGCATCGGCAGGATCACAGGATGGATGGAGAACATTCCAAGCCAACAGATTTTTTCTAAATGGCAAAACATGGAATTTACTACACAGATGCAGACATGCAGTCAAAGAAGACATCCAAAAAAATACAACTAGTTTTCTGTTGTGTTTCTATTCTGTAAATAGTCTGTTTTTAAACGTTAATGTAAGGCTTTGTTTTATTCAGAAGAACCATGGTAGTTGTTAGCTTCCAGAGCTAACTCTATACTTTTGCTCTTTTTCCAGCTTCATCATCAACACAAACTGATGCAGTTTAAAACCAATCCTAAACCAGGCAATAATGCAATAAATTAAAACTGTTTAATGTTTAAAAACCAGATTAACTCATAACCTCGCAATAGAGGAAAAGGCCTCACCTGTTTCATTGCAGTTCCATAAAGGTGCCTTCAGTGTGTGCTAAAATGAAGTTAGCATTCTATTTTCCTAATATCACAGTCTCAGATCACACCAGTGTCATTTGCAAACCATGGAGGTAAAGATCAGCCCAAGAATACGAGTCAGGCCGCTAACAAACACGTCCACTCATTTTGTCTGAGCTACAGTATTAAGACATGAAGATTGGTGAAATGTGCTGTCTTTAAAATACTGTTAAAATGGCATACAGTGTGGCTATGTGGAGAGAATATCACTGCAGTAGTTAACCTCTTAAATGACTTCAGTTGGGATAAAAACAAAGATTAACCATTCTGTGGATGCCTACCATTGTAAAACAGCACCAGAAGATTTCATGCTAAGGCTACATTTGCAATGGAGGTTAATTTACATAGAAATGTAGAATTATTTACAATAAAGGTCAATATGGCCTACAGACTATAACAGAGAGAAACTTGTTTTGCTAAATGGAATGTAAAGTTCAATGCGATTTAATAGTGTCTTGGAATGGGAAAGTTGAGTGTTAGATTCCAGGTTCCTACTGCCACATATTGATGTACCTTAACCCCTACTTATATACCTATGAATGACAGTGTGGTTATAGTGTAAAGTGCTTTAAATCATCAGTATTACTAGATCAATGTTCATTTAACATAAGGAGTTGGAATATTTTTACATTTGTTTTTGCACACCAGATTGTCAAGCCAGATAGCCTCCTCACAATCTTTTTTTTCTGGGAATGTCATTGTTCAAGACTGGGACCTCCACAGTCTTTAACAAGAATTAGTCTTCCTGTAAAAAGACAAATTATTTGTATCTAACTTTATTAAAGAGATAAATGTTGAACCACCATAAAATATTAACCTCTGTTCTACAGTGGTAGACATCTGTTTTGATCCAGACCCAATCAATTCAATAAAATCTCAATAAAGAAAACATCTACTGAATCTAAGTGTTGCTAAATAAAACAGGTGAAACAAACCCTGTACACTAAACTGTCCCTTCAGATTCCAGCAAATGAAGGACAACAAATGCAGCCATTTCCAGAAACCAGTTCTAAACTAAAGATTGCTCTACATCCAAAGGCAAGAAAAAGTTCAGAGAGCAGCTAACCCCCCAAGTAAAAAACAACCTTAGCTTCATTCTTAATAACCTAAAAGAGTGGTATATAAGTAAAAGAGAAGAAGATGCCAGGACAAAGATACTGAGTGGTGTCAAAGGCTGGACACAACCGAAGCAACAACTGCATCAAATGTACCCTGAATGAGTTTCACATCTAAATAAACTAGAAAATCTAAATAAGCTAGCTGCAGTACATCATAACATGTTTGTCAAACAAATTTCACCCTTTCAGATTCAAAGATGAGCATGGCTTTTCTAAAAGGTAGGGTAAGTCTGACTGGCTCCCTGAAAGTGCTTCATTGTAAGACTCATACAAAGTTTCAGCTGTTGAGCTGATGCTCTTAAAACTGTGCAACTTCCTGCTGTAGGGTTAAGAAAGAGAAAATACTTCCTGGTTACTTCCTGGAGTAGCTAACCAAGGCCGTAAAAGGAAATAACAAAGCAAGACAATGTGGGTGTCGTTAATTTCAAAGCTGAGGAAAATCAAATACATAGCAGAGCATGAAATGGAAAAAAAACAACAAAAAAAAACAGTGCTACAAAAAGTTGGACAGGATGAGGACAATTGGGCGAAAAAACCATAATCTCTAGAGTTTCTGCAGACTCATAATCAAATATCAACCTCTATTCTCAAGTGTCCAACCCACAGAGGTAGCTTTTATCCTCACTTTTTAGATATTCCATGATGAAGCTGTTCTTGGGGGCAGGGGGCCAATGACTTTAAATATCCACTCAACAAGACAGCTTCCATGGAGCGAGCCCAGACATAATCCTGTCATCTCCTACAGTCTCCCTAAGCATCATAATGGGCCCAGATGGGCTCAGAATGCCTGAGAGACTTTAAATCACATGGACAATAATGTTTTCATGAGCAGTTCTTATGGCATGGCAGGGGTGCACCAATTGTAGTTTTATAGTGAATCACCAATCTTTAAAAAACCTGACCTGTCAATTCTGATTTAGGCTGATTGTTTGAAAAGTCTCAAAATAAAGCGACAAACCCACTAAGTAGGTAAAAGTAGGGTGACTATTGTTAATTTTGCAGAAGTGACCTGTAGGGTGGTGTGTCAGTCAGGCCCCTCACTGCAGAACGAAAGAGGATAATGGTTAATTCTCAGATCTTTGTGGAATTAGTTAAGATAGGTAGTTAAGAATGATTTTTCATGTTAGCAGATCACTGATCTCACCAAAATTAAGAAAATCTGACCCGACTTATTGGTGCACCCTTACCTTTTAGGCATGTGCAAATCATCTTTCACAGTAATAAACAAAGATGTCTCTTGGGTTACTCAACTTTCATTTGTTTCTTTAGCTGATCCCTTTGAGGGCCGTAGATACAGTTTGCATGCCAGGAGAAACACACAATGATTGAGACAATGGTAGTCTGGAGGAGGAGCATCACTCCGTAGGTGGAAGCAATGGTTGGTCCAGGTAGGCGGGAGAGCGCAGTAGGGGGTAAGAGAAAATCAGGATTGAGCAGGATGGCTCTGACCTCAGCCTGGATCATGTGAAGTTCATCGAGGATGGACAAAAATGTGCAGCAGTGGAACCACTGGTGGCTGTGGCCCCAGATGTCGAATCGACCTGGGGCCAGTCTCTCTGGGAACTTGCTGATGTTGAAAAGGGCCGACACCAGCAGCCACAGAGAGTGGCGATAGAAGAAGTTGGGCATGGTGATGGAGGCAGCAAAGGAAGGCGTGGTGGTGGAGTAAGGTGATCTGGTGAGGACACGGTAGAAGACCGGTGTGGAGGAAATTAGGAATGGCAGTAGGAAAACCAGGGTTCGTATGATGTATCGATGCTCCCTCCACCTCTGACGAGTGTTACAGCAAGATAAAACACATATGATTGCTATAACACATGCACATGGCATGTAGTAGGTCTCAAAGAACAGGTTGAATTCTGGCATGGCATTAGGAGATAAAAATCCTTTATGCTTGTGGTTTAGGTCCAAATAGGAGCCGTTCCTGTCTTCTCTCTCTACTATCCCTGCCCGAGGATGGATGTAGAAGTAGTACGCCAATGATGAGCCAACTGTGTAAGCGCTGATTGTGCCATAATCAACGAAGAAGCAAACCTCCCTTACGACCAGAGACATTGAGTTCAGCAGATGGGCCATGCTGCTGGCCAGGAGCAGACAAAACACCCCAATAAAGTAGTTCCACATTGGGTAAAAGAAGGGGGCGTCGGCATCAGGTGCACCATCCCAACTGAACATCTGTAGAAAGTAGTAAGCAAAAATAAAGATAGGTAGGAAGTGTGTCCAGAAGTTTCCTGTTTCATTGGTAGGCCTGAATGCCGACAACAAGCAGTCCCTCAGGCTGTAGTTTGGGAACCGGTAGCCTGACAGGATGAAGTTTTCTGTAACACGAGGGGGTACATCCTTGTCACTCAGCAGAGGCAACGGTTGACCACAGTTCAGAAACATGATGAGCTAAGAATTCTTTTATCCCAGAAAAAAGGTTGAAAACGTTTATCCTGCACTGTTAGGTTGTTCTTGGTACATGATCACAGCATGTCAGGTGATATAATCCGTTGGTTATAAACTGGTTATAAACATCCAAAACCTACCAAGGTTCTCAGTCCATCTCCTTTCGGATCACTGATTCCAGCATCCAATCCAGGCCTCAAAAGTTCAAGGAAATTCAAGCAGCAGTGCAAGTATTAGCCCAGAGAGTGGGGAACCGATCTAGTCCTGTAGATCGGTTCTTTGTCTCCCTTTTGGTCTTGTCCTTGACCCCTCAGAATATCAAAGGTCATAAAAGATCCAGTTTCTGTAAAGCTTGTTGCTCTTATCCTGTTGCATAGGACTTCTACTTATGAGTTTTGTTTTGTGTCTTCTATCAGGTGCTATGCATAGTTTTTGCAGCAGCTGGTGAAGACAAAGCTTCCTTACCGCAGCACTGTCCTTCAAAGTTGAACAGCATGCCAGCAGCCGTCTGATGCAGTTATGTCCCAGAGATCCATCCATAGAGTTGTGCAATATAAAACTGTAAAACAGATACAACTTCTTCTTCTCATTGGTCCTTGAAATTATGTCTACATCCGACTTTTACTTCATTCAACCCACTTGTCGTCGCAGCGCACAGTGTTGCATAGGGAAATAAACGCATGGTTGCAAAAGAAGACGCGGTGTTCCGGTGAGCAGGGAACCTCCTGGAAGAGCCGTTTACACGGAGACTGAACCCGGAGACTGAACCCGGAGACTGAACCCGGAGACTGAACCCGGAGACTGAACCCGGAGACTGAACCCGGAGGCAGCTGTCAGCTGAGCCCAGCGCACTAACCCGAGAGGATGACGGCAGCCGGCATTTTACTGAAGATTTGACAGATACTAGCATCAAGTCTTAAAGGCGCAAATGCACTTCCTGGGAGATTTTCAAAATAAAACAATTACCTGTAACGAGAAAATGGTGCAAACGGATCATTTGCACGCCCTCCTGGCCCAAATGGTCATGTTAATTCCACAGATAATTCCATAGAAAGCTATAAAGCTATGTTTCCTAATCAAGACATAAATATCCAACCATTATCATATATGCTTGTCCCAAGTGGAGTCAGGAGGGGTGCTGGTGCCCATGTCCAGGGGTCAACGGGTGAGAGGCGGGATCACCCTGGAGCGGCAACCTGTCACTGGGCAACAAGGAAACAAACAGGACAAACAACCAGGCAAACAAACACACACACACACACACACACACACACACACACACACACACACACACACACACTCACACACACACACGCACACACACACATGCACACACACCTAAAGAGGATTCAGAGAAATCAGTTCATCAATCCAGGATCTTCTTCCTGCTATGCAGTGGTTGGTGTGCATGTAATAACGTGTCCAATATCTAAAACAGTTTGTTTTCTGCCTTTCAGTTGGAATAATATACTTTCACTGACAGCCTTGAATAACAGAAATTGAATAAATCACTCTCACCTTTTTAATGTCTTAATAATCAGTTTAGAACTGTTTAATACATTTTGTGCTGATATATCCACCATATTGTTTCTTGTATGGTTTTTGTAATTCGTAAAGATTACTTGTGTATTATTATTATTGTTTTTTTTTTTTTTGTAAACGTTGATTTTGAAAGGAGTTTGTTGAGCTTCCGGTGTGCTGCTGGTACACTCAGTTCCTTTGGGCAACTCGGTGGAGTCCAAACTAATTCTTAAAGAATCTGATTGTTGTGTTGCGTCTCCCTCCTGGACTGAATGAACTGACCCCGCGACGTGTTCGAGGCAGATTGAACGTGACCATAGAGAGAAGGAAACACTAAACTGTAATCTCTGTAATCTGCTTGAAACGCGCGCGCCCGCTGCTCCAGTTAGGTAATCCCGTTACTCAGCATCTGCAGCAGCTCGCGCTCGGTGACACGATCCGTGGTGAACGTTCTTCATCTCTGGCAGCTTTTCTAACACTAGCGCCAAAGGTTTCAATTACATTTTGGAGAAAACAATTCTATATTTGTTGCAGTTCACAATTTTCAGGAATTGATCAATCTGACACAAATCAAAACTATTTTAATCTGTTGTCATTTTAAAGTAATTTGGGATTAACCTGACTGTATAACCTATTTGAATTTCAACACTAGCAGGTTCTCTGGAGCCCCTTTGGGAAAGCTAGCTATTGATTTGCTGTTGCTATAAAATCCATATAACTGTGGTGTTAAAGCTGGATGCAGTCAAAATGTATTTGAAGTACAGACATGAGATACTGACTGTGTAGCTGCTCCAATTAACACACATTGCCTTGTAAAAATAAACATACTCCTTGAATTTTTACAGCTTTGGATCATGTTGAAACACAGACTATAATTCAATCTGACTGTTAACATACAGTCAGATTGTATGTTAACAATCTGATACATTATGTATACATTATGTACATTATATATGTTACCAGTCATAACACAAGACCAATCGGTCTTGCTTTAACACAAATGACCATGAAAGCTCACATCTCTACTATTACACTGCTCAAAACAATAAAGGGAACACTCAAATGACACATCCTAGATCTGAATGAATGAAATAAATATGAAAATAATTTCCACCTGTTATCTATTTCATTTGCACAACAGCAGCTGATATTGATTGTCAATCAGTGTTGCTTTCTAAGTGGACACTTTGATTTCACACAAGTTTGATTTACTTGGAGTTATATTGTGTTGTTTGAGTGTTCCCTTTATTTTTTTTGAGCAGTATATTTTGGATATATTCATTTGTGCCCATTGAGTTTTAAGTGCTGAATTGTAAAGTGTAGAAAAAAATAATTTAAGAGATATGTTCCACTGCATTCAACTTTTACTTTGTGGAATAGTAAAGGAGTTGGGATATGACACTTGCCCATTATGATGGATGGAAGAGATGCTTTAAATGTTGTCTTCATCTCTGCTTTTTAGTCCTGCTCTGCAACATGAAGCCTCCCTTTGAAATCCTCTGGGATTTTGGAGTCACAGTTCGGATGCTGCTCCTAGAGCAATACCTTGTTGACTTGGTTATGCATCATAATTGCACAGCATCCAAAACCAGAGGGAATAACTGACCAAACATGCAGTAGCTTTACCAAAAATGTATTAACTAAAGTCCATAAAAACTACAAATCAGATCTAATATCAGATCTGTTCCAACATGTTGCAACCATGAATGGCGACATTCTAGTAAATATGAACTACTTTCTGCAGTTTGACCCAGAAGTTTTTGGTTAAGTGAAGGAATGGGTTAAAGGTCAAAGGATATGGCTGTGGCTCATTAGAGGAACACATGCTGTTGTTGGTCTAGTGAGACGTGTCTGTTAAGATTAAAGGCTTATGCCTAATGAAGTTCTGCATGACAATAAGTGTTAATCAAGAAAAATATATAGTATATACTAGACTTAGAGAGAGACTTAGACTTGACTTTATTGATCCCTTGGGAAGACTCCCTCAGGAAATTATAGTTACCAGCAGCTCACAGGCAAAAATGTGGCACACAGTAAGCATACACAAAAGAATACAAAAAAATACAAATTAAATACAAAACAAAGAATATAAATACAACACAAAAGGAAATTATAGCAATTTGGTGGATAGATTGACCAGTGATATGGTATTGCACTGTATGGTTTGGCCTGATAAATATGGAGTTCACATTTGTAGAAAAACTACTCCTTCTTCCCTCTGTCCTGTGTCACCTCCGACCCCCCAGTGAGGAGTTGTACAGTCTGAAGGCGTGGGGGACAAAGGAGTTCTTGAATCTTGGGGAGCAGCAGTCTGTCACTGAACAGGCTCCTCTGGCTGCTGATGACGGCATGTAGAGGGTGGCTGCTATCGTCCATGATGTCCAGCAGTTTGTTCAGTGTCCTCGCCTCTGCCACCGTCACCAGAGAGTCCAGCTTCATGCCGACCACAAAGCCGGCACGCCTGATCAGTTTGTCCAGTCTGGACGTGTCCTTCTTGGATGTGCTGCCTCCCCAGCACACCACGGTGTAGAAGAGGACACTGGCGATCACTGACTGGTAGAACATCCACAGCAGTTTGCTGCAGATGTTAAAGGACCGCAGTCTCCTCAGGAAGTACATCCTGCTCTGCACCTTCCCGTACAGGTGGCTGCTGTGTTTTGACCAATCCAGTTTACTGTCCAGCCACAGCCCGAGGTACTTGTAGGAGCCCACGACTTCAACCTCCGTTCCCTCTAGCACGACTGGTCTCGGCTTTGGTCTGGACCTCCCAAAGTCTATAACCAGCTCCTTCGTCTTAGCGGTGTTGAGTTCCAGGTGGTTTGTGTGGCACCAGAGAGCAAAGTCCCTCACCAGACAGCGATATTCCTCCTCTCTGTCGTCCCTGATACATCCGACTATGGCTGTGTCATCAGCATACTTCTGTATGTGACACAGCTCCGAGTTGTAGTGGAAGTCAGAGGAGTACAGGGTGAAGAGAAGAGGGGCCAGCACTGTGCCCTGAGGGGCTCCTGTGCTGCTGACCACAGTGTCAGACACGGTGTCCTTTAGCCTGACATACTGCGGCCTGTTGGTGAGGTAACTATGGATCCAGGTGACCAGGTGCTGGTCCACTCCCATGCTGTTTAGTTTGTCCTGGAGCAGAAGGGGCTGGATTGTATTAAAGGCACTGGAGAAGTCCAAGAAAAGGATCCTCACTGTGCCACTGCCCTTATCCAGGTGGGAGTGGGCCCGGTGCAGCAGGTAGAGGATGGCATCCTCCACACCAACATCTGCCTGGTAGGCGAATTGCAGGAGATCCTGGGCATGTTCCACCTGAGGTCTGAGGAGGCCGAGGAAGAGCCGCTCCAACGTCTTCATCAGGTGTGAAGTGAGTGCCACGGGCCGAAAGTCATTCAGCTCGCTGGGCCTGTTCTTCTTGGGCCCTGGGACGATGCAGGATGTCTTCCAGAGGGTGGGCACTTCCCTTAGCTGCAGGCTGAGGTTGAAGATCCGCTGTAGTGGCTCTCCCAGTTCAGCAGCGCAGGTCTTCAGCAGACTTGGACACACCTGGTCCGGCCCTGCTGCTTTCCTGGGCTTGAGCTTCCTCAGCTGTTCTCTGACCTGGTCTGTGGTGATGTGGGGTGGAGGTTGTGCTGAGGTGTGTGGGGGGGTTGTCAGTGTTTTGTTGTCTGTGGGGAGGTGTGTGGTAAGGAGCAGAGGTGGCTGCAGTGAGAGAGGGGGTTGGGGGGGCACAGACTGGTTGAACCTGTTGAAGAAGTTGTTCAGGTCGTTTGCCCTCTCCATTGTTCCCCCAACGACTCTGGTCTTTGTGTTGAGGCCAGTGATGGTCCTCACACCTTCCCAGACCTCCCTCATGTTGTTCTCTCTCAGCTTCTGCTCCACCTTTCTCCTGTAGCTGTCTTTTGCTTAAAGAAGTTTCAATAGATTTGTAATTACCTCTGGCTTTACACAGAATGCCTTCCTGATATACAGGATGAAGGAGGGGTCCACAGAGTGAAAATAGTCTCAAAATACCTGTGTGTGTAATCCGTGTAAACATCTTTTTGTGTGACTTTGGATTGTTGTATCAGTAAAACATAATTTGTAAACCATAAAAAGAAAATGTGCTTATAATTATGTCGCCAAATACACAATTATGAAGAAATTCATTCATCCATCTTCTTCTGCTTATCCGGTAAGGAGGAAGGCCCAAACTTCCCTCTCCCTAGCCACTTGTTCTAGCTCCTCCGAGGGAATCCCAAGGCGTTCCCAGGCCAGCTGAGAAACATAGTCCCTCCAGAGTCCTGGGGTCATGCCCAGAACACCTCAGGGGGCGGGGTCCTAGCCCAAGTGAAGAAATTACAAATACAAAATAAAAGTACACACACATTTAAAATTTATACAAACATTAAATTTTGACACGCTTTTAACGTTTTTAACTTCAACCTCACAAA